AATAAATAAACCTCCCTCCTCAATAACCTTAGTTCTGAAGATTAATACAGTTGGTTGCCACATTAAAGGGACTAGAGTATACATAAAAATGAATCTTCTCTCTAGTTCCCGGGGGCTTATCTCAAGATTTTACATAATAATTCTATTCCTTCCAACAATAATTTTCTAGTTAAGTTTTTCTAGGGGAGAGAAATCTTTTTTTTCAAGCTGGGGTTGGGGTGTACAAAGGGAATGATAAAAATAACAAAATATTCTTTTTAAAAACCTCAGGTCTGGAGGAAAGAGACTTCCTGGTCTTCCCCCAACAGAAGACGGCAAACAGAACTATAAATGGTTCCTGTCTATTTGGAACAGTAGCTGCATGCTACAATTATCCAGGGAGCTTGAAAATTTTAAGACAGCTGGCTTTACATCATATCAATTAAATCAATCTCTGGAGGTATTTTTCTTTTTAAAAAAGCTTCCCAGATGATTCTAGGGTACAGCTAGCATTGGGGACCATGATCTAGACAACAGAAACATGATTCCTTATGAGAACAGGTCATAAGACTGTGGACTACTTAATAAGAATGCTGAAAATTTACACAGGCTAGATGATAATGTCCATAAAGTCAACCAAATCACACATACAGAAGCACCCTTACTTGCAATCAGAGATAGAGGGAATTGGAAGGAATCTTTCACATCAGCTGACCCCATATTTTGATTACACACCTGTCAGTGAAATATTTAAAGCACTGATACTGCTATAATTTAACCTAGTTATGAATAACTGGAAAGGAGCAAAGGGAAGGCCAAATTTTACAGGCATGCCATTTGTGCAGCTTTGCCAGGAAGATGAAGTTTAACACTCCCCAGGACGCCACCGGTCTGTCCCCTGCATGCCCAGTAAAGTATGCCTGACATAGGGAAGGTACTTGCCTGTCAGACACACCTGGGAATGGGCCATTGGCCAGAGTAGACGTGACCACTGCAAGCCTGGGAAGATTCTATATTTATTCTCCTAAACAAAGGAGTTTGCCCTCTTGATTCTCTTGGGACTCATGCTGCAGGGGTGTGCTTTCCTGGCTCCCCTGCATTTGCCCACATGGCTCATGGCCATGCGAACCCCACACAATGGCTTGATGGACTGGAACTAGCCTAATGCTGTACTGGACCCTGTTCCACCATGGAATGGAAACTGTGGACACTGGCTTTGCTTCTAGCTCTGCTGAATCCCCAGCTGCACACCTTCCAGACTGGATTAAGGGAAATGGGGCTTTGGAAACCATGTAATTCCACAAAAATAACTTTTTAGCACATCTCATTCTCCTGTGGGCCTCTGGAAATGCTTATTCTAGTGGTACCCCAGAAACCCCACTCTCACTAGCAATGCAAACAGCATTTCTCTGATAACAGCATAAACCGTGTATATCTATTTTTAAACTGTAAAAATGTACTGTATTAATATGCATACATATTATACAACATAGACAAAAACATTTAAAGTAATAAAATAAAAAGAAAACATTTTAAGAGTAAGTTTTGTCAAAATTACAAAATAGTTTATTGTTTTGCTCTCAAAATACAGTGATCTGTCATGTTTTAAATGCTTAGTTTTTATTATTTTTCTTTTCTTTTATATTTTTACTCGAGGCCCAGTGCATGAAAATTCATGCACTGGAGGGGGGGTCCCTCAGCCTGGCCTGCCCCCTCTCACAGTTGGGAACCCTCAGGGGCAGGAGGCAACCCAGTGATCAGGGGAAGGCAACGCCCCCTTAACACCTCTGCTGCTGCCACTGCCGGCAGCACAAGCCTTGGCTGGCCCTGGTTACCTGAGCCTTGGGGGCCCTAGGCGGCTGGGCAGCCACCATCTGAGGCTTGCCTGTGCCTCGGGCTGGCCCTGGCCTTGCCTCATGACTGCTGCCCTGGCGGGGCCGAGGGGACTGGGCGCTGCCATCTTGTGGCTGTGGGTGCCGCCATCTTTGAGGGCATGGCAGTCAATTAGCATATTCCCTCCTTATTGGCTGTGGGTGCTGCCATCTTTGAGGGTGGGGTAGTCAATTAGCACATTCCCTCCTTATTGGCCATGGGCACTGCCATCTTTGGGATGGCACGAGGGCCAATTAGCATATTCCCTCTTTATTTGATAGAATTGATTTCAGATAGGAAGGGAGAAGGAAAGAGAGAGAGAAACATCAATGATGAGAGAGAATCTTGATTAGCTGCCTCCTGCATCACCCCGCCATCGTGGATTGAGCCCGAAACTCATCCATGTGCCCTGACTAGGAATCCAACCATGACCTCCTGGTTCATAGGTCAACGCTCAACCACTGAGCCACTGCTGCAGAGCAACAACAAATTATTTCGAAAGTTTGTTTTCACTACTTCAAATAATGGGGGAGGGGGGGTTTAATATTAAAATGTTTGCAAAGTGCAGGATTAAACAAATTCCTAAAGGTTCCCAATATTAATATAGTCAAACTTCATTTCTCAACCATCTCCCATTTCAATTTGGTTCTCAACCAAGTATTCACAGGAAAAAATGCCTCCATTGTCAATGTTAGCCACGGTTTTTGAACTGACAACCCTTTCCAGCTGACACCTCAGCAAGACAAAAAGCGTTTCTCAGGCAACAAAGGAGAGAATGCTTTTTGTTGCTGGCAAAATCAATGATTAGCACAATTTTAAAACAAAGTGGCCATCAAGAGTGCTAATGTTGCTAACGGTGTGAAAGAAAACAATGATCGCAGACAACTGACAATGTAAAAAAACTGTTGTTGATTTGGATAAATGAAAAGCAGTTAGCCAGTGACAGCCATTTTGGAGGCAGTGATATAAGAACAAGCAAAGATGCTGCATGCTGACCTAAAAGACATCCCCAGACCGGATGATTAGCTTAAGGTTAGTAAGGGGTAGTGCAAAAATTTAAGAAAAGAAGTATTTATTTATAGATTTAACAGTACCTTTGACATGTACTGTACATAAGGAAGGTTAAAACAAGAAATCATTAGGAGGTCTGGAATAGATTAATTCCAATTACATTATTTCTAACTAGAGGCCCGGTGCACGAAATTCGTGCGGGGTGTGTGTGTGTGTGTGTGTGTGTGTGTCCCTCAGAAAGGTTATATCTCTTTACAGCTTATGGAAAGTGAGGTCTTTCTTGTCCTCACTGTGATAAACATATACAGGAGTGGAAATGTATATAGAAGTTTGGCCCATAAATGGAAAAAAAAGCATAGTTAGGGGCGACAGGAGTAGCACACTAATGAAGAAAGGCAAAGACAATTAAGACCTATAATATTTTACACTTCTATATTTCCACTTGGCTTCAGAAAATTGCATGTATTTCCATCTAAGAGTAGACAAGATGAAAATAGAAGAGGGTAAAAAATTAGACTTTTATCTACCTATCTCAACAGGAAATAGAAAAATACATCTCTTGGATAATTTGACAATTTTGTCTCCACTTATCTTGCCTGTTCTTTTCTTTAGTTTAAATTTTTCCTAAAGCATAACCAGAGGCAGTTAAATTAAAGCCTGGTTGGATGTAACTGAATTTTGACTTGCTTTATTTAATCTGTACAGTGTAGCAATTTTAAAAATGTGAATGTCTTTAGAAGGGGCATGTGCACTCCAGTTCATCACAGTCCCCAGGATTTTTACCTTCTTACATTTCAGCATTCTGCTCACTGAGGATGCCGGCCTGGCATTTGCCACCTCATATAAAATAACTGTAAGAAATTCAACTATCATAAAGTACTGGTTCAAAAATGAAATAAAAAAAACCTAAATAAAAACAAAAGAAAAAATAAAGTAGTGGTTCAGGCCAGTCTTAAAGAGTTTATTTCTTCTTAAACTCAGTATTAAGAAGTTATTAATCAACAAAACACAACACAAGATATCAACTGTTCATTGCTACTTGACTTAACTTAGGCTTCATTTTATTTTCAGAGATTCATCACATTTTTCCTTATATTACAGGTACTTCAAGACTCAAAACCCTTAGCTTTGGAAGCATTGCTAATGACCTGCAGCAACATAGCACACTGGTTAATTAAGAGTAAACTCCTACACCAGGCTGCCTGGGTTCAATACCTGGACCGATTAATTATCAGCTGTGTGACCTCAAGTAAGCTAACCTGGGTGTCTCTCAGTTACTTTATCTGTAAAATGAGGATAATACCCGTAGTTACTTCATAGGGTAGGTATGATGGTTAAATGTGTCACTACTTATGAGACACTCAGAACAGTGCCTGGCACAAAGTAGATTTATATATACAATATATGCGTGTATTGTACATTGTAGAATACAATATATATAGTATACATGATATGCTTCAATAAAAGAAGGTTTAAAACATAAAGGCAGCCCTGACCAGTATGCTCGGTGGTTAGAGCCTTGGCCCTTGCACTGAAGGGTTGCGGGTTTGATCCCCACCCCCAGTTGGGACGCATGCAGGGGGCAACCAGTTGATGAGTCTCTCATATTGCTGTTTCTCTCTCTCCCTCTCCCCCTCTCCCCTCCCTTCCACTCTCTCTGAAAACCAATAGGAAAAATATCCTCAGGTGAGGATTAACAACAACAAAAAACCCACAAAAAAGCAAAACGAACATAAGGGCAGTCCTCACTTTGCATGGTAGTGTGAGACCGTAAAAATGACTGTGCAAGCTGAAACTATGCAAAGTAATTTTAATAATCAATGGGAAAAATTACCATTGTTTCATGACCTTTAAATTTTTTTGTCAAAACATTAAAAACTCTGTTACAAAGGTATAAAATATGAAAAAAGTGAAACTATTATTTATAAGGGATACCATAATTTGAAACACTGAAAAAATGAAGTATTTTATTTTTTTGAAAAACTTACAAGAGTAGTTTAAACAGTATAACTTAGGATACAGAGTGAACATCTTTTCTAAGCTTGGCAAACTGTCATATCCCTTACTAAGGCTGAATAACTCAAGCACCTGATAGCATGGTCTATGATACAGAAAAGGTATAATGAAGAAAGACTTACATTGTATTGATGATTGGCAACAGGTTTGTAATTGGTTGTCACAACTTTATCCAGTTGTTGTGATAGCCGTACGGGTTTAGAAGATTCTTCTATTTGCAGTCTGAAAAATAAAAGGCACTATTAATAAATTCCCTTGTTTATTATTATTAGAGTGAAACCTGAAGAGTTAGTCCTATAACTCTTCTTCCTCAAGAACTAATACTTAATATATACAAAGTAACCTCAGAAGACATACCAACCTTAATATAATACTTCAAAAACACACTGAGTATACGACTATAATGTAGAAACTAGACCATAAGCTAAACATACAATCTCACTGTGATTCTACAACTTTCTTCCAACCATATACTGATAGTCAAACTTTTATTAAAACAAATGATTTCTGAAAAAAATCTGCATGTAAAAATGAATTACTGTATCTTAAATCATTTGGCCTAAAACTAATCAAGTTATTAATTCAGAAATTCTATCCACTTAATAAGAGATAGAGTAAATAAAAAGATAATACACTACTACTCAGGGTCTAGTGCAGTGATGGCGAACCTTTTGAGCTCCGCATATAAGCATTTTGAAAAACCCTAACTTAACTCTGGTGCCGTGTCACATATAGAAATTTTTTGATATTTGCAACCATAGTAAAACAAAGACTTATATTTTTGATATGTATTTTATATATTTAAATGCCATTTAACAAAGAAAAATCAATCAACCAAAAAAATGAGTTCACCATCACTGGTCTAGTGGCTGCTTTATTGGACAATACAGACATAGAATATCTCCATTATCAAAGTAACTACTATTGGACAGCACTAGTCTATTTTAGGACTCCCTCTAAATCAGTGGTTCTCAAACTTCCTAATGCCTCGACCCTTTAATATAGTTCCTCATGTTGTGACCCAACCATAAAATTATTTTCGTTGCTACTTCATAACTGTAATTTTGCTACTGTTATGAATCGTAATGTAAATATCTGATATGCAGGATGTATTTTCATTGTTACAAATTGAATATAATTAAAGCATAGTGATTAATCACAAAAACAATATGCAATTATATATGTGTTTTCCGATGGTCTTAGGCAACCCCTGTGAAAGGGTCGTTCGACCCCCAAAGGGGTCGCGACCCACAGGTTGAGAACCGCGGCTCTAAATTAAAACATAACTCAAAATAGCACCTTTTAAAAAAATCCTCACCTGAGGATAATTTTTCCATTGATTTTTTTTTAAGAGAAAGGAAGAGCGGGGGTAGAGAGAGAAACATCAATATGAGAGAGACATATTGATTGGTTGCCTCCTGCACAAATCCTTTGGTGTGTGGATCGAGGCTCTAACCACTGAATCACACCAGCCTTGGCTCAAAATACCACTTAAAAAAAAAAAAGCCAAAAATAAACATGGCACTATGTACAGCATATTATAAAACATAATACTTGACCAGCATATTTATATATTCAAGTAGCAATCTTAGGTAATTTTGTTTTGGACTAAATGTTATCATATTTCATGATTCACATTTTACCATTTACTCCTTATTTTAAAAATTACATGAATTCATTTTTTCTATCAGCACAGTAAATCTAAAAGATGTTTTAAGGGGGAAAAAGTACAGTTTTTCATAGTGACTATTTTTAAACAAAATGTATCATTGTACCTTTATTTTTTTAAAATATATTTTATTGATCTTTTACAGAGAGGAAGGGAGAAGGATAGAGAGTTAGAAACATCCATGAGAGAGAAACATCAATCAGCTGCTTCCTGCACACCCCCAACTGGGAATGTGCCCGCAACCAAGGTACATGCCCTTGAACAGAATCGAACCTGGGACCCTTCAGTCCACAGGCCGACACTCTATCCACTGAGCCAGACTGGTTAGGGCTATCATTGTACTTTTATACTTCTCATCAGTAAGATCAGAATATAAGAATATATTTAAAGCACTACAAGGAAAAAAAATGCCAACCACATCTAGCTAAATTATAACTGAAGAGTAAGAGTGAAATAAAAGCATTTTTGAACAAAAAATAAGTCTATCATTGATAGATCCTCACTGAGAGAACTACTCAAGGACTTTTTTCAGTAAGAAGGAAAATGAACCCAAAAGAAACTAGTGGTATGCAATGGTCGTAGCAAAGAAATTGAGAACCATGATAGAAAGTTGCCCACTCAATAAACAAAAAAGGTGTGTTTTTGTTTGTTTGTATTTTTTAAGAAAAGAAAGTGCAACTAACATGAAAGGTGGGAAGGAAGACATCAGAATTAATGCATTTCTGTCTCTTTCTTTTGTTTTGTTAATCCTCACCCAAGGATATTTTTTCCATTGATTTTTTTAGAGAGAGTAGAAGGGAGAGAGAAGATTGATGTGAAAGAGGCTCATCCATTGGTTGCCTCTGTCTTACTGGGGCTGGGGATCAAACTCCGCAACCCAGGTACACGCCCTTGACCGGGAATCAAACCCACAATCCTTTGGTCTACAGGCCAACTTTCTCATCACTGAGTAAACCCGGCCAGGGCAGAATTAATTCATTTTAAGATTTCTATGTTCTCTAAATTTTCTGCAATAAGCATCTATTACATTTATAATCAGAAAGGAAGTATATTTTCTTAAAGAAAAAAAAATCATTTCTTGGAAGGTTAATTTCAAAGCATAAAAACATTGGTCATTTAAAAGCAATGCATGTTCAAGGATCCAAGATGACAGTGGAGAGGAAATTCAGACACTGACACGTACAGAGGAGAGACAATGTGAAGACACAGAGAGAAGATGACTGTCCACAAGACAAGGAGAGGGGCCTAGAACAGATCCCTTCCTCATGGCCCTCAGAAGGAACCAATCCTGCAGACACTCTAGTCTTGGATCCAGGACTGTGTGAAAATAAATTCCTGTTGCTAAACCTAAATAAATAAAAGCAACACATTTAACATCACATATTACTTTAGTTGAGTGGGACTTTAAATTCTTTGGCTCATTAGAATAGGAACTAAAAATAAATTTTCATTTAAAATTCCTAGCAAAGCACAACTTGCCGTTCTTATAATATTTATTATTTAATTCCCTGAAGTTTATTATCTATTTGCTTTTGCCTGCTCTTAGGCATATCAAATTACTCAGAAGATATTATATATCTACTAATTGCTTTTTTAATTTGAAAACTATAACTACTGTAAGTTTTGTTTTTACAACAAACCCAAATTCAGTATAGTAGTTTCTGCACTGAAAAATAAATATTTTTATTTTTCTAACTGTTTATAAATCCTTCCCTAATCTTTAAATACATAAAGTGATTGTTTTTATAAAGTGTAAGAAAAGTACTCTGGAAATGTCTATAGGAACTTACTGTTTATATAACTATAAATCAAATGTTACTTTGCTTTTCATGTGACAAATACATTTTCTATGAACCTTGAAGAAAGCACTAGCTAGAGGTCTAGAAGGGAGATGTCCACCCAAAAATGGACTTTGACTTACAATCCTTCAATGGCCTATTAACTGTTCTTAGATGAAACACAAGCTTCTTCAACATGACTTCACGTCTCTCTGGGTTCTAGTCCTTGCTTATCTCGCACATCTGCATCAGGCTACAGCTGTGCAATGACCAGATTTGAGAAGGAGCCTCCTCCTGGAAATCATGCAACACATGTTTCCTGGGTGCCTATCTCTGCCAGGCGCTAGGTTAGAGGTTGGGAATGCTGCAGTGAGGAAAAGACTTGTTCTAGTGAAAGACAAACATTAAACACATGCTTATCCACAACTAATTTACTGCAGTTCTAAAGAGAGACAGGACAGTGGTATTACAACAAATGATTGCATGTTGGCATGACATAAAAATTAACTTCAAGGTGTGCACTTGATGGTAAGCTGGAGCAGGACTGCTCATGCTTACAAGAGGTCGGTCAGGCAAGAAAACTGGGTGAAAATAACTTCTCCAAGCAGATAGGATGTCTCAAAGTGACTACCGAGATAAAATCTTTAGAGGTAAAAAAGTGGAAACAAATAGGAATGTTTACAAAGTGTTAGAACTAAGCCTGCGTAAATCCTTAAGAAAATATAAATTAAAAAAATATATAGCTAAGTGGCAAGCCTTTTCCTGAATACTTTTTTGTGTTCTAACCTTGGTCCTGTCCCCTAATGCACTCAGTTCTCAGGGGTATGGCCTCCCTAAATGGTAATCTGTTATGCTGCCACTAAATCATCTTCCCTGTTTCAATTGTCTCATTTCACAATTTAATCTTGAGATATTTAAAAAGGGAAGCGTTTACTAGCTCCTTCCATCCACATTAAATGATTGTTCCCATTATTTCACAATTTAAAAATTCCTTAGGGTTTCAGTTTGTTTAGGTGTCTTTATAAATGGTAGCTTATTCTTGTCATATTCTTATACTTGAATTTATCTGAAGAACTTATTTGCAGTTACTGCATCCTGATTTCAGTTCATGTGGAATACTTTCAATTCTAATGTAACAGTTCTATAAGCCAATGCCATCATCCCAAACAGTGTCATGCCACTTTATTCTCCAAGTATTTATTAATATTTTAAATATATAAAGAAATACACCCAACTAACATTTTAAAAATAAAAAGCTCATGTAAAATTTTAACCTTTTTATTATACATTTAAAGTTTGTTTAATTAAAAGAGGATCTTATGATTCAAAACTCAAAAGGTTAATCTATGGACTGAAAATATGACATTTTTAAAGACTAAACCTTAAAATAGTTTAATTAACCTTGAATAGTTTAAAATAATTTAGCAGGGTTCTTTACTTAACACTAAATAATTCATTTAACATTATTTCACGAAGTGTCAGAACAAGTTGCAGCTCCATTTCACCACTGAACAATGCACCAATTTAAACATCACTGACCTCAAAATGCCTTCAAAGTGAAAATAAGGTTCATCTGGGCTTGTACAAAATAACATAATTTGGAAATATTTGTGGTGGACTGTACAGGCAGGACTAAGAACAAGCTAAAAGCTTCACTATCCTGATCATTTAAAAAATGGGCCTTAACTTTTTCAGAAAAATTTAAGATGTGGTATTTTCAAGAAACAGCAACAGAGGCCCTGGCTCAGTTGGTTAGAACATCGTCCTGATACGCC